CCGGAGGGGCAACCTGGAAGCACTGAGAGGCATAGAAGCAGGGACCACTCACCACTCACCATGGCAAGGTTTCTTGGCTGATTGACCAACTTTCCGACGAATCGTGAAGCCCCTCGCGTGCGCAATGTCTATTTGCGAATAAATTCTTCTATCAAATTCACTATACATACTGCACAAGAATATTTAATTAAATAAATAAAACGTGACATGAAATTGATAAGCAGTTAGATGCGCGTACTGTTGTGTGAATGTACCGCCGTCATGTCTGCTTTTACTCAGTACGTCACCGGCAGTAAATGGGTGTGCAATGAGATGAGAGACGGAATCAGGAAGTGCTTTAAACGATTTAACTTATGTAGGTATCTTTGAATGTATTTTTGCAGTTTTTGTTTCTTCAATCATTAATACAACTTTCTCTTTCTTCGCTATTCCTTCATGGTTGGTATGATTCTATTGGAACATATGTCTGCTCTCACCACAGTGTTATACGGGGGGATCCTGAAGGCAAAATGTTGCCCATGCATCATAGCTTCAACATGGCGTCCAATATTTTTATCGTCATAAAACACCAGTAAAATAATTTATTAGGCATCCAATTTCAGTTTATTGTTGCTCAGTCAGTACTCAATGTCTTGACACAACATTGGAAACAGATCGATACTTTGATTTTTACATCGCAATTCCAAAACTAGTTCATTGATCTCAATGAGTACTTTGCTTTATTGCACCAGTTTTGGGTTGAACCAACCTGAAAGTAGGTACCGTAGTGCACCGAAATCCGGGCACTTTTAAAAGATAATTATCAATGCCAAATGGTATACAACATTTAAAATTCTCCCGCAAATCCAGATCATAACCAAATTTGCTCAAATTTTGCACAGTTGTTAGGTACCTCAATAGGCATGAAAAATTGCAGTTTATCGTGACATTTGCTTCAATTTGTGGAACGTATATGTTTTGAGAGCCGTTCTTATGTTTTCACATGCTAAGACAATTATTTAACCAGGATGTTTTTTTTTTTTAAAAAGTTTTTGGATATCGAACCAAACCGTATCAATTTTCACAGCTCAAAGCTTTGAATAAGGTGAATCAATTCTTACCATTGGCTTTGAGCTGCTTCTTTTGATATTTTATTCAGTTTGATTTGAAGTTGGCTAGGAGAGACTTGATCCCCCAAGAATTAAACACACTGAATCCTGAGATATGAGTGTGCAAAAAATAAAAGTCTGTTTGGGGAGACTTGATCTCCAAGAATTTTCACACACTCAATACCGGGATGTGTGAAAAAAAAAAATACATGCAAATCAAAAGTTATGTATGGCCGTAGACACTCGCCATATTACCTAACGGAATTCCATACCAGGGATGGAAAATCATTTACATTCATTTCGTGCATTCATTTACATTCATTTGCCTCTAACTTTTTTCATCAACAGAATTCCATAAAATAATGTTTGAAGGTTTTGTAGGCTTTGATATTAGCTGCATATTTTGTAAATAACTCAAATCTGTATCTCTTATGCATGATTAATCAGAGCGATAAGAACCCACCATTGTTTTTCAGTGAATGTAAATTGCATTCACTGAAAAAGAATAACATACAAAACCTTTATACATCATTTTACGGTATTCTATTGATGAAAAAAGTTAGAGACAAATGAATGTAAATTAATGCACGAAATGAATGTAAATGATTTTCCATCCCTGTTCCATACATCATGTTATTCCCAAATATCTTTTCAACTAAGTCGATTTTCTCGCTATTTTTAATAAACATTTCAGGCCTTAAATTGTGTACTTTTCAGAGGAAAAACGTACGGCTGAATATATAAACTATATAAACAATTAATTTGTGTCACTGTGAAACAATAATAAAGCAGATGACGTACAAAATTTCGCTGGCGAAAGTGGTAATATTTCTTATGAATGAAATTTAAGCACAACGTTACTAAATAGGAAATGCATGAATTGCACAAATTGTAGGCACTCAAAGCACTTAACGTTCACAAAAGACGGATTACGTCTGCAAATTGAGTGCTGAATGTTAAAAAGTCACTTGCTTTTGTACACCGCATTCTCATTCATTCATCATATCTGCCCATACAGCTGTCTGCCGGGGCTGCCTTATCGATAATCTAAAATACACCAAATCAAATTGATCAGCACAATAAAATTAATCCAAATTTCATGTTGATTGAAAGTCGACGCCAATCGCGTTCGCATCGGGTCCAAACTGGGATAGATTCCAAACGATAGACAGGGTGTGTGTCTCGCGAAAAAAGAGCTTATTCAATCGAATCAAATGTATCATTTAAAATCTCCATCACAGATAGCGACATCGCTAATTGAATGAGTTCATTAGCAAGCACAATAAGTCATCACTTTGGCTCTCTTCTTGTATGTATCCAATCCATACTCTCTCACGTGTACAAACATACATCATTCACACCAGCCAAGAGCATTAGTAAGTATTATGTACCATTCGGGAGGTGGTGAAAGAGAATCGGCGAGGTTCAACTCTGGTTCGTTTCGTAAATTCAATTTCAATACGCGTTTGTTCTGTGTGCACTTCTCGGCGAGCGCCACATCTAGTCAGTGAAGGAGGGAAAGTGCCCCAGTTGAGAGACGGGCTGGAGCGAGAAGAGCGAAAGAGACCAGCTAAGCAGAGCTGTATTTCCTTTGCGAAATAATCCCACTGTCAATCAGCATTTTCTTTCCAACTGTTTCTTAATCACAAAAATCCAATCCAATTTAGGTCAGCTCACTCCAGCCATAATACATGAGCATAACAACATACAACATCAACGGTTGAGCCGGGTACCGTGATGGTACCGGATTGGGGGACGTTTGATTTTGTAGGTCGATGGGATTCGATACACATTAGTCATATTCGCAGTTAGTTGTGTTAAAGTAACATTACTAAGTACAGTGCATTACAATCGAGAATTCATATTGAAGGATTATGACAGATTGTTGTTCAATGCTGAAATAAATCCCTTTATGGCCATAATACAACTTCCTTACGTTAGATGCGCGTGCGTTCTCCTTTTCCAATCAAGTGTATGTATGTTTTTGAACAGCGAATCGAATTGCATTACTTCTTGAATTGCCATCATCGAATCGTACCGGTGTGTGGTGTCATACTCCATCACTCATAGAGTTTGCCATTGTGAAGTGACATGTTTGGACTTCCAATCTCCTGCCAGCAGTCGGTGGTGGAAACCGCTGTTGCTGTGGCACAATAATGTTCGGAGTTTGCTTCGTGTAATGCGAAATTGAAAGGTAGATATTCTCATGGATTACCATTTTAGGGTCAACAAGGAGGTTATACAGTCAACTCTCCATTTCTCGATGTTCTATATCTCGATATTCCACCCTATCTCGATAGTTTGAGCAGTTCCTTCAGATTCCCATACATCCAGTTCTCTATATCTCGGTATTGTTTGTCCTTTATGTCAATGGTTCTTAAAATATATTCGCGAACAAATTACTCTCCATATGTCGTTGAAAAAATATCAAAATAACTAGTTTTTTCTACGTTTAAAAATCAGTGTACTAGTTTTGCTTTGGATACAGAATAAACAAACACACTTTTTGAACCCGAAGTAAAGTAATAAATCACTGTTGTGAATGTCGATCTCTCCTATCCCTTTAATATCGAGAAATGGAAAGTTGACTACATTCATATCCTTACAAACTGGAAAAGCACGTTTCTCTATGCTTTGCTAAAAATATGGGGCAGATTAAAAATTTTATGAAAAGTTTGACCAATAAAAATTATATTCATATCAAATTTAAACGATTGACAAAAATATTATATAAATATTTTTCAGGACAAGAAAGTCTCTTTTAAAAGACATCTAATCTAATCTTCTTCAGGATTTGTTGCATTCTAGATGCACTCAATTGTGTTTTCAACCGATTTTCATTTTTTAGAATTTGCCCTCATGCAGCAATTTTAAATACCACCTTTTTTTTTGATTTTCTAAAACAAGCCGCATTAAATTTGGTAGAAAATTGAGACCACACGTCCAAAACAAAGGCGAAAATAAATCGCGTAAAAACAGAATTGAGTGTATTTCACATAATGGGAATTATTACTTCTTCTTCTACCTTTTTTACGCATCTGTAGCGAATGTTTTGCCTGCTCCCAAATTGGTGAGTACACTTCACAGTTATTAATTGAAAGCTTTCTATACCAACCAATGCACATATTTGTATATGTATCCCAGGGAGAGCGAGAAAATTCTCAACTCGAAAAACTTCTTCGATCGGACCGGGAATCGTACCCGCCGCCTCCGGTTTGGTAATTCCCGCCTAGGGAATTATTAACCTTTAATGAATTGCGGCTTGATTTCTACGACAACTTTGTATATGAAAAGTTCTTATTTGAAACGTTCATATTAAATAAACTGTGTGTGTCATGAATGGATAACATTTATTATTAAGTGAGTATAAAATCTTGCTAACATTTGATTAATGTTTTTATTACGAGAATAGCCTACATTTAAGTACACAGTGGTTAAATTCAATTCACGTAAAAGTTTTAAGTTATTAAAATTTGAAGTTTGTATAATAAGAAGCCTCAAACCCGAAAGTGTGATACTTCGATGCTGATGATTGACACATGATATTTAACTTGTTAAAGTAATGTTAACGAGATATTTCTATATCATATTCGTAATTTTTAAGTAAAGCTAGCTATTTTTTTCCATTTTTACTATGTAGAAATTTAAAAGCAATTAAGCCATGCCATGATAATTTTGAAAATCATGTTAAAAATAAGCTTACATCAGGCTTTGAAGTTAAATAAGTTGTTTCTGTACATTTAATGACCTAAATATCATAAACCTGAAGAGCTATAGCAATACTGGATACAGATTATCATTAAATTACTAACGATTTTTAGTTCTATATATTGATAGATCTAATCTAAAAAAAATAATAAAAAGGATATCAAAAAATTTGTTCATAAATCTACATCTTCAATAAACAATTATTTAATTTCTTGTTCCATTAATCAACCTGAGTTGATTTGGAAAATACTCGCTAATTAAGTAATCCATCGAAATGTCAGCCAGGCTTTCGATCTCTGCTTTGCCGTTAATTTCCTGAAGCAGTTTCAGCTCCTGGTAGAGCTCACACCCCGGTTGACCAATGTAGGGACGTATCAATAGTGCTTTGATACGATTTTGATCCCGCGCGGTGAGCGGAAGTAGTTTCAAATCCAGCAACGCTATGTGAGAAGGTCGGAGTCCCAGCCATCGAATCGATGGAACAGCCAGTAGAGTCGATTGATGGGAGAGGGCCTTTAAAATAAATGTCCGGGTGGTGAATTTTTAAGGTGAGAATATGGAATGTAACATATACCAGCGATCCGAATTTGTACACACAATAGATTTCGATCCCGAAGGGGTCAGCATCAACAAGAGCATACATTGGAGTTTTAAACGTATCCCAAATCCTTTTTAGCAGCAGTCTTGTCCCAACATCCGGGTATCCTTTGCTCTGTGAAAAAGGATTGATTCAATGTTTCAAAAAAATCATCATAATCAATTTAAACTAAATACCGTAACCATGACGATCTTCTTCGACAATCGGGAGAGAATACCGTCATCCAGAAGTCTTCTGAACACTGTATCTTTTTCGACAATCAGTATCAAATCCGCATCGACTTGGATTTCCATTAATCCATTCACATCGGCTGGTATTTGCGTTCCAAGGGAGTTGAAACAGTCAACCATTTCTTCGTGCTTCGAACAAAACTTCATTGGTCCTGCGATGAGTCCTTTAGACGAGGAAAATACATTCATTTCCCAAAGATCTGCCTTCACGAGGAAACACACGTCTCGCAGAGCTTCATCTACATTTCGCTGATTATGAGTGATTTGAGGATCACGATAGTACAACTCCCGTTTTGTGCAACATGATCCGTGAGCTAGGAGCTTGAAGATCTCCGATAGTAGAAATACTATCAAAACGAAGCGATGTTTTCCATTTTTATGATGAAAATTAATGGTTTTCAAGCTATCTTCTTGTGTATTCTGCCTTGTCAGACTGCGGGGAGAATGATATGAATATGTGGCAGTGGAAAATGAAAGATTTAAACGTACATATCCTTTTCCATGGAGCAAATATCCCACGTTGCTCGGGATTGAACCTGCAAGAAAAGTTTGCTTCCTTCCAGTTCTAATTTCGATAAATGATGAAAAAGATTCACAATCGTCGACATTATCTCCTTTTGACGGGTTGAAACATCTTTCAAAATACTTAAACATTTCTGGTCCAGATTCGGAATGATATAATTATTTTTGTTAATTACAAAACTCCTAAACGAATCTTGAGTTGGAATATTTTGACTAAACGGGAGATCGTCTAGTGATAATGGGTTGTCAGGTGGCGATGGAAGAATTTGTCCGAAATTCCTCAGCTCTTCAGATGCAGACGATTCTACATTAGAAACCGTTTTTTGTTGCTGATCATTCGTAGCATTTTCCGGTTGAGCATTTGGTGCTACCACTTGAATTCCATCCTGTTCTAAATCACAGTCTTTCTTATTTGATGAATGAACGTCAAATTTCTTTTTCAGTTCATTGGTTCTAGTAGCATTTGAATCATCCATTTCTTCACAAATTAAAACTCCGATTGTGTTATTAACTTTCTGATTATCAACTGAATTGGGGAAAACTGTGAATCCATTGACAAGAGTATGATTTTTCCATTTTAATGGACTGGTTTGTGTCTTGTTGATCTTATTCTTCTTGGGAGTCTCGTCTTTTAAGGCAGGAAACATCACCCTGTTACAGTTCATCAAACCATTCCAATAGGGGATATCCTCATCAAACGATGCATCCAGATTCTTATGAACACGATTCGAACTCAATGTCCCGCCAGCTTTCAAGGGAATGGAATTCTGAGGTGAAGCAGAAACAAATCCCGATTCATTTACTTTCTCTTCGTCTTCATTTTCAGAGTAATCATAAAAAATATTTTTCAATGAATCAATTTCGCTTGATGATGCACTTGAGTGTAATTCGAAAAAATCTTCATTGGCGACAATCATAGAATCAGATTTGTCAGACTTGAAGAATTGATCTGTAACGCATTGGAAATCATTTCTAATGGGAGATATCGGGAGAGAAGTGCTCGAATCAGAATTGAAGAATGATCTTTGTGGAGAGCTAGACGGTGAACTGGTTATGAAGAACGTATCGTTCAGGTTTGAGGTCTAGATATTGCAGGTAAAGGTGGGAGTAAAGTGGAATGAGAGAGTGCAGATGGTTGATTTGAATTTAAAATAATAAAAATTAACACTTACATGATCGTTCATATTGTAATGCTGCCCATGCTGGCCATTGTAGTGTGGCACCGACAGTGATACGTCGAGATTCGACTCGTTTCGCTGAAATTAAAAAAAAGTAAGGGTAGATGTAATGCGTTAGAATAAGTTAAACAGTCTAAGGTGCGAAAATTACGTTCACAACTTTATCGATTTTGGATCAACATGCCTTTTTATAACATACATTTTTAAATCTTTAAAACACACTGTCACAATCCGTAGAATCCTTCCTCGTATTGTGCAGTGTATGGTTTCAAATTCTTTCATAGGAGGAAATAATCGATTGCGCCCAAACCAGACGATTTAGGTAGATAGTGTCTTCGGGTAAGTTTTCTATTTGTTTTAGCCAATCTTTTGATGTGAGTGAAGTTAGGTTGGTTTGTATAGTCGGGGAGATTAATCAACTTTTTAGTTATTTGAGATGACGAGGCTCGGTAACTTAGTAGCTACCGTTTTCGCTTACTGAACAGAAGATCAGGAGTTCAATCCCAGGCCCATCTCCTTCCTTACAATTTTCAATATGTCTTCTTCTATCCCACTAGATTTAAAATAAAAACAGTCTGCTGCTCTCACTGAATCCTGACCTAAACATAATCCTTCCTTCCCCGCGGCAATTGTGGAGATGCAGAGGCATGCCCAAGTAACCACCAAGCCCTCTAACCACCCGATAATCGCCCTTTTTGAGATATAAGGTAAATAAATATATGGCCCTCAACCACCCTAAATTTAACAATAAAAACGACCAAAAATGAGCAAAACAAAATTACCAAAGACAGTAACGTCACCCTAATCTCAATCTACCTGTTATTAAGATCTCAAAACGTTCACTAATCTCAAAATATTACTTGCAATATATAAATATCCATAAAATTAGAAGATTCTGTGCATTTTGCAATCGATTTCAATGTAATTATTTTTAGATATCACGTACCAGGTAAAAAGTGAGGATACGCAACGCCACTGCTTAAGACACCAAACGTCTAAAACTTAATACAAAAGCACTAGGACTTTTGCTAAATTCCCATTCTGGATCACTGTGTAATGATTAAAAAAAATTACTGAGGTCTTATGCAATTGTAAAACAAAATATTTAATTCGGCCAGCTGTTTCTTCAAGAGTAAGAATTACCAGTTTGCATAAGTTGAAATCAACGCGTAGCAATAGAATTCTATTTTCTGTTGCTCTCTGAAACTTTGCGGTCTTAGGAAAGACGGGGTAAGACCGCCACCCTAAGCAATATTTTAAGTAGCTCAAAATTAGCAAGAAATTTAACATTTTGCTATGCTACATAAGAATAAGTGTTCATTTATCTATGGATAAAAATTAGATTTTTTTTTGAGATGTATCACATTTCTTATGTTTTTTCTTCAATTTTCGAACCAAGGGGGGTAATTGTAAGAAGAACCACCACCGGGGTAATATGGCCCATGACAAGATTTTCGGAAACCACAAACAAGCGCCACATGAAAGGTACTATCTTCACTCACCCATAATGTGGCACCACCCATAATGTGGCACTGAAAATTCATAAATATGAACAATAGCAGTCATATTCTGTGTCCAGGGCAACATTGGTTATACCCGGACATGTTCCGGGTACCCCCGGAGAAATGGTAAAAATCATATTGACTCAAACAACATCATGCGACACGTCAAATCACATAAGAACTCAAAAACATTGTCATTGGTGATTATATTGACTACGGTGGACCACATTAGTCACACACACGTGTTCCGGACATCACCCGGGAGCAAAACAAAATTTATTTTATGGCCTGTAGAGGAACAACACACGCTATTGGCCGACAGCATTAACAATAACCCCAGGTTGTCCATCTTTTAACTCAGCAAAACAATATAGAAGTTGTGCATAAAGCCATTGATCGCCTCGAGGATCAGCTCAGTGAAATAAAAAAGAGCTTATGAGCACTAGAAGCACTGGTTCTTTTGGTAACTTAACGACCATAAAAAACCACATAACATCGCTATTTGATATAGCAATGACGTCGGATATGTCTGATGACTTGAAATGTTTGAATGAAGAAATCAAGCAACTCTTAAGTCTCACGATGGACATGAATTCTTGTGCGCTAATGCACAGTAATCCAATGCGACACACTTAGGAAAAAATGACCTAAATTTAGGTGCTTCAAGACTGACATACAAGCGTCTATTTTGACATAAAATTGAGTCATAATAGACGCGAAATTCAGCTCAATCAAATGTACGTTCGAACTTTTCAGTATCGAAGCACTTAATTGTACATGACATGTTTGTATATGTCTCATCCTTTATGTCAAAGTTGGAATCCATCACGTGTAAGATTAGGTATTTCTAAATGTGTATGATGAATTGAAGTCCATTTCTGCTAATATAGCATATTTTCATAACGCACCTTTGAATCCGTCAGTTAGCTCGTGCTCCAGCCTAGAAATCGTAATCAAAAACACAAATCATGCCGATACCACTGATTCAGGGTGCCCGGAAGGTGTGGAAACCAGATTGGACGGACTACGACGCTCGTGTATCACGTCACTTGAGTCAGCAAAAATTTGCTGACAAGGCTAAAAAATGGAGGAAGTAGAATATGGCACGTCAAAATTTAGACTACAACAATAGCAACAGCAAAATTAGCAACAACCACAACAACAACAACTGCAACAATAAAAAAATCAACAACCAGCACCAAAATCAAAACAGAAACAACAACAACAATTTTGGCAATAATAACAACAATTTTGGCAACAACAACAACTACCTACTGCCACCCGATCGAGTGCTTCTTGTGGCAGAGAAAGATAGGTTTTCCAGGCCGCCGCCGGTTAACTATCGACCCACAATGAAATTCCAACGAGGGGAAATCTTAAACCCCTATCCGGCGTGCGATGTATTCCCACGTATCGTTCCAGCACACTTGCCTAACGGGATGGCTGCAACTGCATCATGCGAGGCATGGTTATGCAGGAGTTCGTGTTTTGTACGAAACTGACGCACCCCTTGGAGGAAGACAATGATCCGGCAGAACCCGACATTATCCAGGACTTGAAGACTTTTCTACATCAAGGAGAGACATTCGTGTTTTCTACGAAACTCACACGCTCCATAGAGGAAGAAAATGACGAGGATCACGACGCTTTGCAGGACGAAACAAATTCTGAACATGGATCAGGGGAAAATAATTTTGATAATAATTTTATTGCATGACAGGTTATCATCAACTTCTTCAACTTATCTTCAGACCATTACATACATTTTGGTTTATTACCAAAATGTTAACCGTCACCGGTACAATGAATAATATTAACAACAATATATTAAGTTCTACTTACTCTGTAATAATGACTCATGAAAAAAGTTGGGATGATAGTGTAAGAAGTGCAGAAGTTTTTGGTATTAATTATAACGTTTAAAGAGACGATCGCAATTTTAAATGGTCTGGGAAAAAACAGGAGGTGGAGTATTCATAACGATTTCGAGCAAATTGAATTCAGAAATCATCATTAGCAGTATCATCGAACAAGTTGCACAATATCGTAGGTGGTATGAATTCAAAACTATTAAGAGCAAGACGGATATCTATTACTGGACAAATAGTAAGTAGGAAATAATCACTATCTCCCACATCCCGCTTAAGTTAAGGATTGTCCTAGCCACGTCCTTACAACTGGTAGGGATAGGAAAGGTATGTTAGTCCAACATTTACTTAAGAGAGATGCAGAGAACTCTACGACCCTTCATAAATGTCTCGGGAATTTAGGAATTATGTTGGTAGGGAAGGTAAGCCATATGATACACCCAGTCAGTGTGTATGTTATTTTGACCATAATGTGCATCCAAAGCGTTCCATCCACTTTTCCAAATTTCTAACTTACTATCAATGGAACAGCGCCATCAATGAGAAACAAATAGCCTTGACTTAATAGTGAAAACTATTTTTGTAGTTCTTTAAAAATTCTACTCTAACTCTTTTCTCAAATGAACTTGGTGGCCCTGAAAAGGGCCGTTTTGTTACTTGGTTGTTGGTGATAATGATGCGTAGAGTAGACAACATCCATGGCCTGGACTGTCTGCTCCTGGCGTGTTCAGTGACGGCATCACGGATCACATTTTCTCGGCACACTTTCAACACACCTCGGATTTCCACGGGTTTCCTCGTTGTTCGCCGTTGAACGGGTGCATCGCAACTAATGCGATCGCGCAGTTCGCTACCTGTTATATAGACAACCAGCTCTGCCGGAACCATATCAAGAACAACATGGGCCTGCCATTCGTCGTCTAGCTCGACGTGGTGGTGTCAAGCTCATCTCCGGTCTAATGTTCGAGGAAACCCAAGATGTGCTGAAGGTGTGCCGAGAAAATGTGATCTGTTATGCCGTCACTGAATATGCAGCTGACTACACGTCATCATCATCTTCCAAAGGCTTTAAGCCTGTAGTACCATCGGCCCTTTTCAGGGCCACCAACATTTTCCAAAAGAGTTAATTTTCTGAACATGTTCCAACTAAAATTCATATCAAAAGGTTCTTTTCAGGGCAATCATAGTCATACTAAACAGTTTAAACAGAGAGAACCCCGCTAAAACTCCTATTCCAACACAAAACGCTGCAGTTAACAAAAATATTTATTATATCATACCACGTAGTCCTACGTCATCATTGCGTACAACCCCATTGGGCTGTCCCTTGTAGTTTTAATATAATATATAATTATGATATTGTGGATTTATGATACTTAATATACAAGTTGTAAACATATGTGTAAACAAGAGAATATATTTATGTATATGCTATAAAACTGATTGATTCCAAGTATCATTGCAAGTGTTATAAAGGTTCAATGAATTCTTCAAGTCCAAATTATGGCCTACAAGACTATATAAAAGCAAAATTGTTTCTTTGAATGAGTATATATGATTGGTTTTTCCCGCATTTTCCTGTTTTTTTTCTCGACAAAACCGAATTCCCGTTTTTCCCGGTTGGATGGACACCCGTATTGGGTACACAGGTAGAATTTACGTTTATATGAACGAAATAAAAATCAAAACCTAGGGGGTTGTTAATTTT